GATCTTATCCAACTTTATTGATATAAAATGTATTTTGTGACTGTCGCCAGTGTAATCTTTACATGCTTTTACAGTTGAAGTCTTTAAAAAGTCGAGACTCAGTTTGTGTGGATTACAACATTTGTAGAGAAGCTGCCTGCGTAATGTATGAGCTCCGTCTAAATCTTTGTCCCAGTGTATGTAGCTCTGAGCCGCAGTGTGTGGAAAGGCCAAAAACAAACCAGGAATATGACTTTAGTGGAAATATTTGCATTATTTTATTCACAGGTTGGCTTATTTTCTATCAGAGGCATCCAGGTACACCCAGAGTTACGTTTCTCTCCAACACAGCCTGGAGGTCTATGCTGTCGTCTGTCTTCTCAGTCCAGCGTTTTTTGGGGGACAGCTGCTACGTGAACAGTCGACCTTTTTCACACAAACCAGCACTGACTTGTGGTTTTGGAACAAGATGGGCTCGATAAGCACTCAGCATTTTGGGCTAAACCGGTCTGGCTGTGTGGATTAGGTGGCGTCACTTGTGTTTTTCCAGTTTCGCTGCATCCTAAGGCCTTCTACTAAATCGTGTGTGTGTTTGCACTGTAGTGTGCATATTTTTCTTTCATTGTACTTGTTTGCCTGCGCCTCACTGTCTTCCTGCAGGACAATTTCATGGCACTGACGTGTCTTTATTTTAAAAAGCTACACATTGCTGCAGTCATGCTGAGGCTTGGAGGCTCGGACGGTTACCTTTGCAGTGTTGCAATGGATCCCTACCACACCTCGTCATAGCAACGGTTGCTATGTTTTAATGTGTCTACTTTGCTAGTGGCTTGAGTTGTGTGATCATACTTTATGGTATGTGTTTTTGTTTAAGCATGTGCATGACTTTTATGGATCTATGGACAAACTGATCCCCGTGTAAATGAGTGAGTGCAGTCAGAGAGAGAGACCGCCCCCCTATGAAACAGAAGATTTGGGGGGGTCACTAAAATGGTCCTTATTTGTCTCTTATTTCCAAAACACTCAAACTTATGACGGGTGTGTAAATTATAGCCAAGTGTAACAGAGTCATATCTGGGCCTTTCACTAATAAACCATCTGCTTTTCAAGTGGTTTTTATCCTGTTTGATTCCTGTTCAGAGAAGCGATTCGTGTAATATGTTTGACTGTAAAGTTTCTGCCGAGGCCAAAGCAAGACGGAGTCAGCAATTATGTGTCAGATGTAGATGTGAGGAATTAGCCCTGTGTGTCTGCGTGCACATGTTTGTGTCCGTGTTTGCAGTTTTGCTTTGTTGTGGACGGTGCCTGTGGGCTCCTGGCTCACAGATGAAAGCCGTATCTCATGTGGCTGCTTCAGTGGAGCTCCTGAGTCAGCGTGCAGCTACTAATCAGTGTTTTCTCCTTCTCGGCTGGCGTGACTCTCTCCCCCTTACTCTACGGCCGGCCGCCATGTTAGCTTTCATTTGTAGAGTGCAGCCAGAATTGACTTTGGCTTTTTTGCTGTATTATATGTAATACAGTCCAAATAGGCCTCCGACTCTACCTCGTCGGGTCAACTTGGAGAAGGTAGAAGTGGTGAGGAAGCAAGGCGGGTGACGTGTGGGCTGCGAGGGGTGGTGTGGTCATCCTAGCAGTTAGTCCGGTCAGTATGGCAGAGTAACGTAAGCTACACGTGGTGTCTGACATCAGGTTTCATTACACGACGCCCTCTGTGTCCACTGTGTTGAACCATAACTGCATCTATGGAAACTGGCGTGAAGAATTTCAGAACACATCGCTATTATTTTCAGAGATTATGTGATTGGTTTGATTTTTGTGCCATGAACAACTTTATTAGAGAGCTGGCTCGGCCCAAAATCTGATTCAACTTTTGGAGTTGATCAGGAAACGTATAGCATACAGGAAGCTTTGAAAGGCTGAGTTTCCCGTAGTGAGCTGGGACACTGCTGTCAAATCCCCCTGATGTCCTCAGGAAAATTTCACAAACGCATCTGGATTTGAGCTTTTATGGAGGTGAGTTTCAGTTGTGTGGTCTCAGAGAGTTTGCTGGGCGCGTGGACAGCTGATTCAACCATCAACATTTATGTTAGGATCCAGTTATAAACAGTTTATGCACGACAAACTGAATATGAAGGTTTTTTGTCTTTACAGTGTAAAAGCAGTTCTGGATCCTTCCGCTGTGTTTTCCCAGTAAAGAGAAAAACGCCGTGTCAAATGGATTTAATCGCCTGTCTAATTGTTTGCTGCTCAGGCTGTTTACCTTTGATACAGGAATTAAAATGAATTTATATTAGATTTCATAGCAAGATGTTATCGTAACCGTGGCAAACGTGCCACATCAGGTTAGAGGGTAAAATGGTGTTTGGCAGCTGAAACCACAGTTTGCTGCAAACAGCACGATTCCCATCAGCCCGGAGCCAAGTGATGGCGACTATAGAGTGGTGGCGAATAAAACAGTCACTGATTGGTGCGTGACACTCGTACAGGGCAAGATTAAAAATGTCACATAGCTGGACATCATATCTTAAATGAATCATATCGTATGAGCTCATTTCAATCACCGTTCACGTGAACTGCCTCAACCTTGGTTTGGATGTTCTCACATACCAGTGACTGCTGCTGCTCTGTGTGTACATACTCATGGAGCTCAGACGTTAGTTAGAAAATAATTAGAACATACAAAAGTTTCTATTGTTTCTTTATTCATTTCTATTTGGTTTGTTCTCAAGAAGTCACTTTAGGTCGAGCTGGTCTCCAGAGTGGAGATGCTTGTTCCAGTTCTTGTTTTCCACTGATTTGACCCTCAAACACGAGAACCTGCCAGTATGGTGATGGTCAAAATTAATGGTAAAATAAACTGGCTGAAACTGGTTTTCGAACCTACGTATGTTTTTATTTTGTTTTTTCTGGGGACATGTGACTTCAGTCAGTTGGTCGTGTGGTTTGCCGGAGCATCTCCTGAGGAAGTGGGATGCCACCGCCTGCCTGCTGCGAGCACACAAACACAGTGATGTCCAGGCTCTTTCTTTCAGTGTGGCACCTTTGGACACCGTGTAGCTGCACACATGTGGGATACGCAGACGTAGCTGTTGCTTGGATATGTTGTTTCTAGCCGCGTATCGAGTTCTTGGCTCTTTATTTGTGTTGGAGCTGGCTCTGTCAGGAGGTTAGATAACGCATGAAAAAGCGAAGCAAGTACGCACAAGAGCGCTTTGTGAGAAAGAACTATTCGGCTGTGTCGCAGCCTTGTTTGTCATCGTTTCTGCAGACTTGTCGCATTTCCCTGGCTGCTTTCTGAAAGCTGGTTCCTGACTCCAAATATATCACGGTTGGTCAACCACTACATTTCAGCTCAGTGCTTCTGGTCGACTTACGCTGCAGGAAAATTAATGATATGATTAAACATGTATTTCCCAGCCTCACGCAGTGTCACTGCCGGGTTGCTTGTGTGTTTTAGGTTTGTGGAAATGTGTGCCAACACTACTCCGGCCCTCGCTTTCTCTCTGCCCTGCGGTCACAGCAGGCCAGCTGTCGGCAGAGTCGGGAGGAGTGTGAGGAAAACAGAGCTATGAGTGACCTGTTTGTTTTATATCGGCAGGCATTTCCCCGTCTCTCAGTGGGAGAAAGTCCTCTTTTCTTCCAACACTGGAGGTTCTGTAAAGTTACAGCAACCAGACAAGTTTAGCTTGATGATTAGTCTCTCTTCCTCCGACACAAGCCCGTTGTACATCAGATGGAGATTTGGTCTTTTGTTAACCAAGAGTGCGACTGTACGTAAACATCAAACGTGCGCTCGTGTTCGAATGCCTACTTGGATGTATGCTAGCCTCGCTAAATGTGGCTAATAAGACTGCTGAAGCCCTGTTGAGAAATAGGCATAAATAATTCTGATTACAATCATATATCTATCAACTTTTTCAGAAAGCCGTCACTGAAACTAATATCCTGACCTTGGTGAACTTTCAGCTCGTCCAGGTTATCCTTGGCATGCTGAGATTATGTAAACCAGGAAGTGGTTGAATAGCCTTCCACAAATGAGGGGAAACGCTGACTTTGTGAGCCTTAGATGGAATCTGTCTAGCTTTGTGAGAGGACGTCAGCAGCCCTCACAGATCCCTCGCAGCTCCCCCAACCAGAAACCTAACAATAGCCAGCTTCATCGTTCAGCCTATCTGGATCCGCTGTCATCTGCTGTAAAGACCAGGTGGTCACAAACACTTTAAAGTCCATTTAGAGGAACACGGGGCCTTATACGTGGGAATGTAGTGGCTGCTTCTTGTTATGACATAACGAACACAAATGTTTCCACCAGCGTGGGTCATTTCAGGCTCAAGTCTTTAGAGCTTCCAGCTTTGAGCGCCAAAGGTGATTAGTGATGTCATTTAGAAATGGAAAACCAGACTGGCCGCTCAGATTGTGATCACGGACTCTGAGCTTCGCCTAGATGCAGATTCGATTGGGTGGAGGTCTCGGGAGTTCTTCATCCAGTGTCCTCAATGTGGTGAAGGGACGTGGAGCTCTGGGCTCCCTGCAGCACTTTCCTGCCTGCATCGAGCACCTCGGCGATGACGCCGTGACGACGCGGTGTGACGTCAGACCTTTGAGGTCGATCGGTGTTTTGCCATGATGTCACACACCTGTCCAGCCACGTTTGTTAGAAATGCTAAAGTGACACGTTGGTGCTGCTGATTGCTGTTACTTGTCACTCGTACAGCGTTTATATCGTGTCCTTATCTTGGTTTTCTTCTTTGTGTATCGTTTTCTTTACTGCACAATGACCATGAAACGTGGCTATAAAATGCTGACAGTCTCCATCATCCACATTTTTAGATTATGTTACGGTGTTATGAATGGCCAGCTGTTTATTTGCTGCTTCGAATGCCGTTTACTTGGAGGTTGACATCTGTACAGAGCAAAATTGAAAAGCTTGCACCAGAATGTTATCCATAGAAACTCTTCTGGTGTGTTTTTTGTTTTGTTTTTTAAATTTCTGACTTGACCGCTGTCTTCTTTCTCTCCAGCCAAACCCTTCACATCCAAAGTGAAGCAGATGCGCCTGCACAAGGAAGACTTTGAGATCCTTAAAGTGATTGGACGAGGAGCCTTTGGAGAGGTAACACCTTATTTTAATGTCACACTCAAACCTTTGCAGCAGGCACAGACCTGCAGATGGATTCTGTCCCTTTACCTGTAATGGGCTCTAATTGGTCACATGATCATTGTGTGAAATGTCCTCCCTGAGGCAGAGACGACGTGATTAACGGACAATATTTCTCTTGAACCCTTAATACCCGTGTTGTGCGAGCTGAGTGTTGTGGCGTTTCAACCTTGAATTCTTTCTGCTGCATTCCAACAGCAGCGCGTCGCATTGGTCCGCCACATGAGCATGACTCTACTTGCAGCACGAGCTGAGCTTGTTGAAGCTTCGCTCACACTGAACCTGTAAACAGAATGAAGTCGAGCTCAGAGGAGCCATCCACTGAGGGTTTATTTATTTCTTTTATGTGTGCCCGCAGGGAAGCTGAAATGCATTTGTCACTGGTTTCAGGTAATGATGTCAAAGCTGGGGAATGTTGAAGGGACAGATGACTGTTGGATAACGAAAGCTCGCATGGAAGCTGACAATGCTCAGACTTTCTTTTTCTACGAGAAGCTTTGATATGATCGTCGTAAGCCCTGCTCCAAGCTTGCAGACAATTCATATCTGGCATTGTTATCCAAAATCTGTTGAAACAAGCTGGGGAATTCCTTTGAAGACGCTCTGATACACGGAACGAGAGAGAAATGTCAGTCGGTGTGGACGTGGACGCTCCTGGCAGCACCAGCATCAGATGCGGGCGAGCTGCTGGTAGGAGTGCTGGTATGTGCAGTCACGTGACGCAGTGCGTCTGTGTTTCGGGCTTCGGTGATGTTGCCTGACTCCTGAACGGAGCTACCTCGTGGTAACTCTCCAGCGGCCTTTTCACTAAACCACATGTGTTTTTACGGGTGTAGCGTGGCAGAAAAATAAAATTAGCTCGGGAGACATCGTGATTGTCCCGTGGCTCTACTATTTAATCGGCTCATAAAAATATACCTTATTTCATCAAACTGTGACCAGGCGCTTTATTTGTGTCAACTGGAGAAGGAAACAAGCCTTTCATTTGAAGCTGGCTTCTATTTCCACCGCCCCGGGTCAAGAGTAGCTGTGACGATAAAGGGAGCTGCAAAACTCGTTAACTCTTCCCCGCTCGCACATCTGCTAGTGACCTTGTTTCTCTTTTCTGAGCTGAGCAGTTTCAGGCTTCAAGAACAAAATGACTGGGTGTGCACCAGAGGTTAGTGAGGGTGATCAGGTCACATCATTAGTGATATATACTGACTGGTGAAATGGTCTGTTGTGCTGAAGAGTATAAAAGCAGTGCTGTTGATTAGCCGGTCAATCTGTTCCTATGATCACGAGCGTAGTGACCAGATGAACCGGGTTGTGGAAAACTGAATGTCCTTCAGAGGAAGCAGGGAAAATAGTGGAATCTGTCCATACAGTTGTTGCATGTCTTTAGGAGCCGTCTTTAGACTCATTCACAAATAAAAATCTATTTAAAATGCTGCCTTCTTTTAAGCGTGCCGCCTTCTCAAACACGCACACAGTGCCAGCTTGGCTCGGTCATGCTGCTACCCTCTGTGTGCCTTGCAGGTTGAATGCATTAAGCATTATTCTTTGCATTTTCTCAGAAAAGCGGGGTGACCCAAAACGTAACTGTCATTGTGCGTTAATAATATACGACTGATTAGTTTAACCGACTAGTATTTCCAGTTGGGGCCCCAACGTTCAAACACCTCGCTGGCTAACCGTTAACATCCCTGATGTCAATAAACCCATTTCAGGCCTCAGCACGGCGTCGTGTTCTCCACATTTCCCTCATGAATAAAAGCTCACCTGGTCAGTTGTGGTGGACACGCCCCCTCCTGCCTGTTAAACCTGTGGAGCTAAACGCTGTGGTGACTCCTGTGAACGAGGCTAATCGACACCTGTTAGTAATGCTAATAACTAATATCAACGATGGATTACACTGGATCTACTTTTTTGTGTGTGTGCCGTAAGCAGCTGTAAAAATGATGGCTCATAATCACGACTACGCTCCAGGTCAGATATAACTGGTTATGATTTTGAGCCATCTTTTTTTATGTTAAGCACAGAGTGGTAAGGAGATGTGGTAGCAGACACAGGAAGCAGAGTAAAGTTAGCAGAGAGTCTGTCTGGAGAACACGCAGGATGTTTTGATTTCATCCTCCCGTTGTCAGCAGCAGCAGAGAGATGGCGCAGATGCGTGACGCCGTGGAGTTTGCCTGATGAATGGACCAGTTTGTACTGGCCTGTTGCCTGTGAGGATGCTCCCATTAGGGACTGGGGTGCGTCGTCTTTAGCACAAAGGGCCAAGAGCTGCTCCGTCTGGTGTAGTTAGTGCCTGAGATGAGGGTGGAAGAGCTCGTTCACTCTAAACGCCATGTCTTCCTTGCTGGCTGCCAGTCAGTGCTATACATTTCTGAACTGCTTGTCACACTGAGTCACCAGTCAGCAGCCCGCATGCTTGTAAACACAACCTCGGTTGTTATTTCGCCAAAGTTTCACTAGTAATTTACTCTGTGGAGTAATGCAGTTAGCCCCTCTGGTCGGGTCCTTACTGATAAACTAACGGGGGGAGTGGAGTCATAAACGCAGGGCAGGGAGGACACGATGGAGAAGAGAACAGGAAGCAGAGATGGAGGAAAGGACAAAAACAGCTAGACGTTGCCAGAAAAGTGCGCTCGCCCTGTCCTCCTGCAGTCCCCTCCTCTGGTGAGGGCTCACTCGGGGAAATCCAAACACTGCAGGAATGTTGTCATTGTATTGCATTAGTAGCATTAATTTAATAGACTGCAGACCCCTCTGCTGCACAGACTGACTTTGTTTGTTTCACTGTTTTTCTGCATCTTTGTCTCGGCCTGTATTTCTTCTGCTTTTATAACGTCCTTGTGCTTTTTCTACATTTAGGCTTATTTCAGTGTGGACTCAGTTTTTAGTTTTGAATTTGGTCAACGAGGCCAAAGCAAATTTTCTTTTTTCCTTTTGTGGGCCAGTAAAGTAGGAGACAAAGGAGGAGAGAAATTAGCAGGGACATAAATTTGCATGAACATGTGTTTTGGCTGTGAGCTCGCAGCACAGCTGCCTGCGCAGCTCCTTTTTTGGCAAAACGTAAAGGCCGGGGCAAGTTTGTCAGAGCAGTGTGTCGCAATCATCACTCGGGAAAGTTGGCCTGTGAGAAGCTGTGAAGCTGAGATGTATTTACTTTACAGTTGTTAACCCGGCTCTGCATGATGCAGTATCACATCAGTGCACTTAACAGCTGATGAGACAATTTTTTCATTTTTTGATCATAGAAAAATTCAAGCGTCCAGCTGTGCAAGTCTGTGGTCCACACGGTGTCTCCGAGAAGGAAGTGACCGTAGTGTCTGCGGTCACTTCCTGCGCCCTCCCCCCACGCTGCTGGTTCTTCTGCCGCACCTTCAATGCTTTATTTTCCCTTCCTGGCCCATATTGGATCTATTTTCGTTTTAATCCAGTGTTGCATGATTATCCCTTCCTGTGCTTCCTCTTTTTTCTTTGACCTCAGTCTCCATACTCACGGACTCTGATCTAGATCATTTAAAGTAATTAGATTACATTTTTCCTTAACGTCTGAACTGTTTATTCACATCTGTGTGATTGTTGTTTTGTGCATCTGTGTTAGTATGATCACTTAAAGGATCCTTGTGCATCCACAGCCTGCTCTTTTCTTGTTGCCTCGAGGCTCAGATAATAACTGGATGGATCTTTGTAATTCGTCGTCAGCCTCGCCGTCACACCAAGTATTAAATTCACTCTCATAACGGCTTTCTTTTGTCTTTTTGCAGGTTGCAGTGGTAAAAGTGAAAAACACTGACAAAGTTTTTGCAATGAAGATTCTCAACAAATGGGAGATGCTGAAGCGAGCAGAGGTGAGTATCTTTGGTTACTGCAAAGTTTATATACACACAATATTAATAAATATTGATCACTCATTTAAAAAACAAAGTGCCTGTCTGAGCACAGAACAGGCCTTCACTTGCAGGTTCTTGCAGAGCTGCTTGTTGCATGTTTTTCTCATCGACCTCTCCCGACAGTCTCGCATTCTTGTCGGTCCCCTGGGTCTTCAGTCTACATGCCTCAAACGTCACAAACCAAACGTGTGTGCGCACAAACGCCTGGATGTAGGAGAGGACATAAAGCCACACACAGACATGCATGACGAGCATGCTGTCGTCGTGAACACGAGCCTGATTTTATTTCAGGTTTTTAACTTTGAAGGCGGCCGGAACAGTTTCGGTTTCTGTTTTAGTCAGACTGCTGAGATTGAAAGATCACGGAGAGGTCGGGTGTGTGTAAAACATGAAAATGTTTTTATTTCTGTAGATGTGTGGAGCTTTTTATAAGAAACCAAAGCATTTGTGCAGATTTGGCTGCTGATATTGTAGGTGGGCAGGATGGATTAGGCTTAAGAAATCAGGTTATTTCCTAAATAACTGAACCTCCACATGTCATCAGATGGATTTATGTCCAGACAACCTGATGCCTGATGGAGCCTCCTCCACCTGCATCGTACAGTAGTGACGCCTACTTTTTGTAACCCTACATTCCAGTGTTCAGTGAGCTAAGTGGAGGCGAGCAGTCTTATCATATTTTTCTTAAATTTTAAATTTGGGCTTTATTCAACTACTCGAGTCCAACACTGCCAGCGTTCCCTGAAGCAAACGAAAGGGGCTGATTTCATGTGTTTAGCAGCAGCTCGGGGAGATTTTACACCAGCCCTGTAAGAATGATCGAGAGGCCAAAGGCGAGTTGCTAACATGCTCTCAGCTTTAAGCACACACTTGTATAGAAGATTGGGACCTTTGACCTCACGTAGTTTCCAGTACGTGTGACATTCATGGTTTGTTGCATCTCTTGCCAGACGGCATGTTTCCGGGAGGAGCGGGATGTGTTGGTGAATGGGGACTGCCAGTGGATCACCACCCTGCACTACGCCTTCCAGGATGACAATAATCTGGTACGTCTGTATATGTCTGTGTTAGATGAGGTAACGTCCCTTAATAAGATTAACCTGACTTCTCTCCACGACCCTGAGTTCAAATGCCACAACTGTCATTCCATTTCCCACATTCTCAAAGCAAATGTTTTATCCCGAACACTCCCCAAGTCTTAAAAATATACACGACTGCCGCTCTGACCAGTTATTTTTAAATGGACCTGTAAAAGTGACATCATTTAGGTGTTTTCCCTCTTTGTGAAAGAAGAGATGGACGACTGTAGATTCATTTCTTGCAGCTTTGTTCTTGTTGTTCCAAAAAAGGCTGCTCTTTATTAGTTTGCCTCTAAGCAGTGCTGCACAGTTTCTGCTGTCTGACACGTTGGCGTCTGTCTCTGTAGTACCTGGTGATGGACTACTATGTGGGCGGTGACCTGCTGACTCTGCTCAGCAAGTTTGAGGACCGGCTGCCGGAGGAGATGGCCAAGTTCTACCTGGCTGAGATGGTGCTGGCCATCGACTCGGTTCATCAGCTACACTATGTCCACAGGTGAGAGGAAAGGTGTTTTGGCACATTACGAAATCAATATGTGTGCGTCTGTAGTAGGGCTGTGCAATATGACCAAAATCTCAGGTCTCGATATCAGACGTCTATCGTCTGATAACGATATAAATCACAAAAATGTAACTTTTTCTGTAAATTCTGTGAATCTCGACTTGCGTGAAGTGTTTCCAGCTGCGCGTCCTTTACCCGGAGTCGAGTGTTTTAACGATGCATGAAACGACACATTTATTTTGAAAAGTCTCAACAGGATCTTGAGCTTTATTGTGAAAGGTTTATATGGAAAATAAACAAGAGGACACGCGATGGTTTTAGGCAAGGCAAGTTTATTTGTATAGCACAATTCAACAAGAAGGTGATTCAGAGACATTAGAAACAAAAACAAATAAAAAGCATGATTTAAAATTGATTCAAACAAAACAGTAGATAAAATCAAAACAGATAAAATCAGAACAGTAGATAAAATCAGAACAGTAGATAAAATCAGTAGTTAAATGTAAGTTTTGAAATTTAAGCTTAAAAGTGTGGATTTGGTGCTTTATTCAAATGCAGCTGAGAACAGGTGAGTCTTCAACCTGGATTTAAATAAACTGAGTGTTTCAGCTGATCTGAGGCTTTCTGGGAGTTTGTTCCAGATATAAGGAGCATAAAAGCTGAATGCAGCTTCTCCGTGTCTGGTTCTGACTCTGGGAACTGATAAAAGACCGGATCCAGATGACCTGAGGGATCTGGAAGGTTCATACTGGGTCAGGAGGTCACTGAGGAGGTTACCATCGTTGTTGCTAACGAGACGCATAAAAACAGGCACTTGTCCGTCCGTAGTGTGGTTATATTAAATATAAGAGATAACTTTAAGAAATGAATATAGCCACTACTGTGACATCAAAACCATGAACAAATATTGCTGTAAACGGTTTATTCTGCGACACCATGAAACAAACGATAGCGTGAAATGAAACGATGAACATTTTTATATCGTCATCAGATATATATCGTTATATCGAGCAGCCCTAATCTGTAATTATATTTGGGCAGGACTGAGCAAGAAGTCCTGATGATGGACGCATCATTCGTGCTGTGTGAGGATTTACTTTGCTCAATGAAAATGAATAAAAGCAAAACAGCAAAAAAAGCAAATATTTCATTCTTGATGTTTGATGTCAGGTTTGTGTGTGTCAGAGCTTTAGAAAATAAAAGGGGCGGCGATGTTGAAGGTAGATGAGCTAAAGTTTCAGACAGACACAAAGGCCCAGTGAAGGATGAATATTAGAATAGATTAGAATAGAATTCAACTTTATTGTCATTGCACAGGTACAGGGCAACGAAATGCAGTTTGCATCCATCCAGAAGTGCTTTAGTGATATAGATATATTACAGTATTTTTACTCAGTTGTATATAGTATTTGTATTTGTATTCTATTTTTATCTTATTGTATATTTATTTTATTTTATTCTACTGTATATAGTATTTTATTTTATTCTATTCTGTACAGCTGTGTACTGTATTTATTCTTATTGTATTCTAATTTTTGCCTCATAACTTTTGCACTGTCCACTTCCTGCTGTGACAAAACAAATTTCCCACGTGTGGGACTAATAAAGGTTATCTTATCTTATCTTATCTATTAGCAATAATATAGATATGTGAGTATATTACAGAAATGGGTCTATTATGGTATGTTATAATGTACACGGTATGAAGTATGTTGTGAATATTCTATAAGTATGTACAGGATATGAACAGGATATAAATATGAAAAACTATACAGAATATGAAATAAATAACTTTACAGAATCTATACAGTAGTGCAGTTAAGATAAGTGAGATATGTGGATAATTTCTACAGAGGCTATATAAAGTGCTATTAATATATATATAATATATATTATATATATAATATTATATAATATACGCAGCTGAAAATGGCGCAATAGCTCCACGTTGAGTAATCGCTCATCACTGTGGGAAGCTGTGATTGCAGTTACTTTAAAGAAGGTCACAGCTTGCACAATATCTAAACGTCACAATGAAAATGCTGCACACGAGGCTATTAATATAACACACAAGCAGCAGACAACAGAACAAACAGATTGCATCTGCAAAAGTTTAAATTGGACTGGGAGAGCAGTGCAGTTGAACCTGTTTACATCCACATGTCAAACATTTTCAGCTATAAAGGGCTTGATCTGGTGACGCTCCTTTGTCTTACAAATATACACGGCTGCCCCTCTGACCATTTATTTTTAAAGGAACCATTAAAGGTACATAATTTGGGTGTTTTCCCTCTTTGTGAAAGGAGATGGACAGTTGTAGATTAGTATCTGGCAACAAAGCAGGCCAGTGTAATCTGTGCTCAGCACCAAACGACAGAGGTTTGTTTTAAAAAGAGCCGTTAAAAAGCGCAGTTTACCTCAAGAGTTGCTCAAAATACAAAGGTTGAAGGACCCTTTTTACTCTAATAGCAGCTGTAGCTAGCACCCAGAGCAGGGGTGGGCAACTCCAGGTCTCGAGGGTCGGTGTTAGATCTCACCCTGAATCACATGATGAGTTCATTACCAGGAATCTGGAGAACCTCAAGACCAGTTGAGGTCATTTAGCCATTTAAATCAGCTGACACGTCTAAAACCTGCGGGACACCGGCCCTCGAGGCCTGGAGTTGGACAGCCCTGGCTTAGAGCAATGTTACAACGTTTGGCTGCGGTGCAGTGTAGCTTACATGGGACATACATGACCCGACCTCGTCTGGTAGTGCAGCGTCTTTAGCTGTCATATCATTTCAAGTTGGAGACACTTTCCTCTCACTCATTTCAAAGACTTAAGAATAAACCACCTAAAAGCACATTGTTTAGAGGGCACAGCACGAGAAAGCATTCTTCTCTCTGAAGTAGGTGCCAAAAGAACTTTCCAGCCAATAGGAGGATGCCCTCGGGAGCAGGAGATACAGTTCTTCCAGACAGGAAGCAGTCACATTGGCATGTTAACATAATTACAGTGTCGCTTTCGCCAGGGGGCTCGTCACAGCAGTTTAGTTTAGGGAGCAAGGGAGTGATGGATAGACTGGGAAAGATGAGAGATGGATGTAGAAGGCAGGGTCACGCCGTTCGGTATTTTGGGTGTGCCCCCAGTTTGTCAGATCTCTAATACACCACAGCAAACACAGACACACTCTGGGAGATGGCAGTGCACTTATGGAGACATGTATGTACACATTTCTGAGGATGAAAGCTAGCGAGTCTGTTCGAGGAGACAAGAGTGCCGAGCCACTAATTGCACAGTGCTATCGGGGGGGCGGCAGCAGTGGATGGAAAAGGGACGGGGGAGGAGGGGACGGCACTGTTTCTCTTCTAGTCCCCTCGTGGACTGGTTGGGACAATAATGATGGGGTATGGGAGGTGTGTGGGTGGGGGCGTGGTGTGTGTGCGTACCAACCCCCCCAGCTCCTCCTCCTGCTCTGCCTTCCACAGAGTCTCCGGGGAGATCTTTGCTTTGTAGAGAGTGGGGACAGCCAGACAGGTCCCCAGAGGAGGGTGTGTCCTGCTGAGCAGTCCCATCTGATGGGCTGTGTGTTTGTGCGCACACACATCAGGGTGTTTGTCCTGCTGACCATCTGCATGTGCCACTTTGGTTTGTTTCCTTTTCCTATATGTAAGTTTAGGGCCGTGTATTAACGTGTCATTTAAAGGATTACACGCCTGTTTTTAAAGTCCACCCTCTGTTCATGACTCTGGCTTCATTATGTGTTTAGTGCAACTGAAACACTGTTAGGAAATGTAAGTGGGCAGACTGTCGCTCTGCGCCGTCTTCATCTCCTCACGTTTTCTCTGTGATGCCGTTTTCTGCTGGGAGAATTTGAGGTCCCGCTCCAAATCTCAAGTGACCCATTATCGGGTCTGCACCAAGACCCCAGGTGCAGAGGCCATAAAGGGGCCTGTTGTGTTTACCACTGATGCTCCTATTAAACAAAGTTTCAAGGACAAATAGAGTAAAATAATATAGTGGTGTTATCCACAGCTCGCTGACCTCTGACCTTGTTGAAAACCCATGAGTGTTTCTGTCGCGATGACAGGTGATGCCATCAGTTTTCATGCATTGTCACTCACTCTGCAATCCACAAATATTCACGCTGAACAAGGCTTATGACTCGCACTGATAAAGTTGGAGCATACCGAAATGAAAAACAAAGAGTGGATTATGAGATGTTTGGTGCGTTCTAGTTTACATCAGTTTTATTTTGTAGTTTGCAGGATTAAAAATACAACACTGAACACAATCCTTATATAAATTATTCGCACAGCTAACATTATTAGCTTACAGCATTTTAGTCTACGCTTTAATATTCTGCTCGAGTGTTATGCTGAAAGCGTCACTGCTTTAAAAAGAATATTTGCAGCCTTGTTGACACTAATGTAGTTAAAAAGAGCCGACATGAAAGGGACGGAGCGCAAAGAGCCTCGAGGTCGACCTTCTGTCCCCTTCAGCCGAGTCCCACGAGGGACAGCGTGTGGAAGTCAGATGCAAAAGAAGACAATTTATTCAGTGGTCAGTGATCTGTGCCTCCCAGAGGGCCTGGACAAATGTTTCAGTAGCTCAGCATGGCTTTGTGCTGCCGAGCGCCACATCTGTCTGCCTCGCACACTGTGTGTGTGTGTGTGTGTGTGTGTGTGTGTGTACAATTGTGTATGGCTGAACAGAGGAACGCACACATTTGATGTCATCATAGTCTGATATAGAAACGGGTCTGCTCCACTGAATGTTGTAGGGGTGTGTGTGTGTGTGTGCGCTCGTGCGTGTGTGTGTGCGCTCGTGCGTGTGTGTGTGCGCTCGTGCGTGTGTGTGTGCGCTCGTGCGTGTGTGTGTGCGCTCGTGCGTGTGCGTGTGTGCGCTCGTGCGTGTGCGTGTGTGTGTGTGCGCTCGTGCGTGTGTGTGTGTGCGCTCGTGCGTGTGTGTGTGTGTGCGCTCGTGCGTGTGTGTGTGTGCGCTCGTGGTGTGTGCGCTCGTGTGGTGTGCGCTCGTGTGTGGTGCGCTCGTGTGTGTGTGTGTGCGCTCGTGTGTGTGTGTGCGTGCGCTCGTGTGTGTGTGTGCGCGCGCTCGTGTGTGTGTGCGCGCGCTCGTGTGTGTGTGTGCGTGTGTGTGTGTCAGGATCATATGACAATAGGTAAGTAGGTAAAGCAGCAGCCCTGCAGTGTGTGGGAACCTTTGATTCTCCTCCTTTGTTGGCAGTGTCATGTGATGCCAGAAGTCACAAAGACAGCAGTTCTTTGAACCGGTGGCTAACAATGCTTGGCTGGAGCCATGTGGACATGTCTTGTCCTTGCAGTCTACAGAGCTGGTGCAGGCCACATTGTGTGTATGTATGGGGGTGTGTATTACGAGGTGGCGTCCAGATGGCCCTCACAGATGGATTCTGTGGCTTTAAAAGAGATTACCTTGCTCTATTCCCGTCTCGGCGCTTCTCCTTAAGACCTCAGGAGCCCAGTGACACAGTAGCCCAATTAGCTGTGCTAACTTGCCTAGCATTAGCCTAGTGTTAATGGTTCCTGTGGTTTGTCCATGAGTGGACATTCGAGTAAGCACGTTATTGTTAGGCTGTGTGTGTGTGTGTGTGTGTGTGTGTGTGTGTGTGTTCTGAGAGCTGGTGCCTTAATCAGAAAACTCAAAGAGAGACTAAATCTCCGGGGGGGGGCAGTGGTTCCTTAAGGAGAGAGAGAAGTGGGTAAATGTAGCTTCGATTAGCAGCAGAATCCACCATTCCTCACCCCACCATGACACTTTGTCTGCCACGCAAATACATTTGTACACATTTGCACACAGGCACAGCACGACGGGTCAAACCATGCTGTCTGCTCTCTGGCAGAACAGAAATCGCTGAAGCAGATTAGGGCCTTCGAGCAGCTGAAACACCTGCGCATGTATGAAGCACGCACACACTCCTCCCTACAGAGCCATGTGCGAGCAGTCTGGTCCGATACTTGTAGGTTCATGATTTGTCAGGTCTACACAGTGTGAGAGTCCCACTCGGGTGATCACTGGTTACCAAGTTAAGTAGACAATTATACTTTAATGAAGCTCAAAACTGCTGCTTAGTTATTTCAGATAATCGATGATTATATTTTGGGGCTTCATTTCATGTTCGTCTTACAAAACCCAAATGCTGATAGTTGAGAATAAAAGTATTAGGATATTCATTTCTATAATATCCTAACATCATCATCTTCTATGATGATGATGATGCTGCTGTGGGGAACAGACATACAGTGGTTTGCAAAAGTATTCGGCCCCTTGAACTTTCCCACACTTTGTCACATTACCACAAACATGAGTCAGTTTTTTGGACTTCCAGGTGAAAGACGGTTGTTTATTTGTACAAATGTTTGAGTCATGTATGATTGTCGTTCCACTTCTCATGTGTGCACCACTTTGTGTTGGTCTTTCACCTGGAATTACAATAACATTGATTCATGTTTGTGGCTGTAATGTGCAAGACTGTACATCTGCCACTGATTGATAGCCACTAATAATGTAAGCCAACCCTTATATTATTCTCCCTATAATTAATTATATAGAAAAGTCAAAGTGCTGTATTTTTTCAGCATCATGCTCAGGTTTGTTGTTCCCTCAGTTTCAGTTTGTTCGAGTTCAGGTGAGGTCCATAGCAGTGATGCTCGTTGTTGTCCAAGATAAATCTTTGCAGGCGTAACAATGCTGTCTGAGAGATCGTGATGGTGTTTATGCTCTTCGATAGTCTGACTTTGGGTTCTTGTCAGTTGCTTGTGGTGTTTCTGCCTGCAAAGCTCATGTTATTCCACACTTGGGTAGCCTATGTGGTTTTGTTCCAGAAATGTACAGGATCCACTTTGGAAAACGATGTCCAATCTGGAACTCATCTGTGAGCGTGCAGGCTCTGCAAAGAGAGAAGCCTCGCTAAGCCTCGCAGCGAGCTGTAGCCCAACTTTATGTGTCTGTACCAGTCACACGTGTGCAGATATTCCTTTAATGCACAGTTTTATAGGTTGGTGATTTAGTGTCGTCTCTGAAGACGAGAGCTAGCTAGACCTCCCCCGCCCCCCTGCTCCATAAGATGGGACCATTAACACTTCTGGAAAATGACAGAGGCTTCACATGTGGCTTTAAAGAAACCTCTCGCTGAAGACGGAAGCATCAAAGAGCCGTGTCTTTGAGTACTTAAAGAGAATTTAAGAAAGACCATTGAAGAGGAACTCGTAGGTTTTCATTCTGCCCTGAAGTTTTTATCTGAAAACAAATGATGGTTTTACAAAGTCGTTACCTGCTGGCTGCTGTTTTATCAGCTGACCTGGACTTTCTGTCATCCAAGTGTTTTATTGGATGCAGCTTTTGCTTCTTTATGTGTGTTCGCTTTTCTCCATTTGATTTTAAAGTGATATTTGGAGCCACAGATATTAGGAAGCAACACTGACTGATGAGGAGCTAAAGCAGGCTGTGCTTTTTAATTTACACATGCTCTCATTCCTCTTCTCATTAGTGTCAGTGTTGCCCGTGTTTGTGTTTGAGCGAGCGTGGGGGTGTGTGCTTGTTTTGGACATTTGATTTATTTTAAGCAGAGCCGCGCTCGCCTCACTGCACAGAAATAGCTCAGTTCTGTAACCTGTTACATCAAGTGTGTCAGTGGCTGCAGAGTTTATCATCTTTCACTCACCTTTGCATTTGTGCGTTGCTGCCTTTAAGGTCCCACGTGTTGCTTTGGACACTCGTTAAAGAGGTTTTTATGTGGCCTGTAGGCTGTGTGTACTCAGGCGTTTCAGGGCTCAGTGTGCTGATAAGAGACTCCAGGGGAAATCGCCCGAATGGTCAGACGAGGACAGACTATTTTTACCCATAATGGTGGCTCCAGTTACGCCTCTGTTTCATACCAGTCCGAGCCGGCATCTTTGGGGTTGTTTAGTATGTATTCTGACTATTACACTCCTGAATGCAACCTCCACACTCAGTTACCCATGTGGGTGCTCTCTGTGGACGCAGGTCTACGCTAGACCAGCTGAGCACCTGTTTAACACTGTGACACGAGCTCGGTCCTGTGCCTGGAAACACTCTGAACACTCAGGATTTTATATGGATGCACAGCACAGAACATATTCATGCATCTACTATGCATTTCTTCATAGTTGGTTCTGTAAGTACATTTTTTTCATTTATTGACGCAGGTGTGCGATCTGCTTTAAGATGAAATTAATACAGTGTATTTTACTTCAAGATTCAACAAACCATTTTTAATTAGATGCCTTACAAAACAGTCTGGGTCACTAAATTTATGGAGTTTGATGTAATTTAGTGCCGTCTGTTCATCTGTGTGGTGCTGGTCTTCAGCTTCATGAGGTGCTGCGTGTTGTCTCTGAAACAAATGCTTAAAATAAAAGATATTCTTAAAGCTTTCTCAGCTTATTCACATTATTGAGTGCAAACAATAAAATGGATAATTATTCAAATGACCCCTACTGGTCATTTAGTTTTAAAAGACTTGAATTGGCAGATGAAACGGTGTCTCGAGTCCAGCCAGCGCATCTGTGACGTCAACGCGTCATCAGCAGTAGTAACGCAGAACAGCCGCTCTGCTCGGCTCGTGCACATCAGAGCAAAAAGGATGAGGGAGTGTGTTTGTGTGCTGCATACTTCCTAACTGTGTGTGTGTGTGTGTGTGTGTGCTGCATACTTCCTAACTGTGTGTGTGTGTGTGTGTGTGTGCTGCATACTTCCTAACTGTGTGTGTGTGTGTGTGTGTGTACGTACTTCGGGTACAGCTAATTCCCACAAGTCCAACTATTTTCAATGTTTATTTTTTCTTTTGCTCAATTTAAAGTTGTCACGCTGCTGATGAATGGACTGAGGCAAATTACACTTAACTGAATCACAAATGTATCTGAATTATACACGTTCTTTAAAAGCAAGCTGAGACAGTGAAATTTCCCCAAGTTATGTAACGTAATTTGATGATAATTGATGGGGTATGAGATCAGGCTTGTGTGTTTTGGACAGGCCATGTGTAGGTATTGTTTTATTTGGCAGAGTGTCCCATTTTCTTCATCATCTTTATTCTTCTGAGGAATCGCTCGCTCAGTTTGTCTTTTCCCCCCTTTTCCCTCTTCTATCCTCCCTCCATCCTCACTTCCTCCTCTTTTCAGGGACATCAAGCCCGACAATATTCTGCTGGATATGAACGGCCACATCCGCCTGGCTGACTTTGGCTCCTGCCTCAAACTCATGGAGGATGGGACGGTAGGTTTTTACCACACTGCTGCTGATGCCTCGTTTGGGCCAAAGCAAACATACCAGAGCTTTTCTGACCTCCTTGTCAACCCCGGGGGTCTCCCAGGAGGAGAGTGCGGTTCAGCTGCTTGGCTGAGCCTGCAGTTTGTGATTCAGACCATTCTCCGAGCCCCATCCCAAAGACAAGAACGGGATGAAATAGATGATCAAAGAAAATCTCAGAGGGATGATAAGGACTGTTTGAAAAGGAAAAACCAGTCTACAAATAGATTCAATGTAGGGATGTATTTCTCAGGTGTTTTGTGCATTAAAGCATCTCTTTGAATAAGAAGCAGATACAGAGAAAACAGCCCAAATGTTTAGTGTTACTCTGTAACTATTCAAACGTGATCTACAATGTAATGTTCTCCCAGTTACGGTCCTATTATAATGCAGGCTCACTGAAAGTGAAGTCACTGGAGTTCTGTAGATGTAAACAAACGCTGCCTTCCTGCCGTGGTGGAATTTATCTCACGTGTTACAGAATTTCACCTTTAATTCGTCGTCATCACTGCTGTTGCTGACTTTACACGCACAAACCTTTGTCACCTCTTAATTTCTTTGATATACTTTGTCTTAAATTCTCTGCTAGGTTCAGTCATCTGTGGCTGTGGGAACCCCAGACTACATCTCTCCAGAAATCCTCCAGGCTATGGAGGATGGGAAAGGCAAATATGGGCCAGAGTGTGACTGGTGGTCCCTGGGGGTCTGCATGTATGAAATGCTGTACGGCGAGACTCCTTTCTATGCAGAATCCTTGGTGGAAACCTACGGGAAGATCATGAACCACAAGGTGAGCTGACGAAATTAAAAGGTGTAACGGTAAAACGCTCGCCTGAAATTTGCCCAGTTTGACCAGTAAACACTTCGTCAAATGCGATCATGTCTTGAACAGGAGAGATTCCAGTTCCCACAGCAGATCACAGATGTTTCTGAGGAGGCGAAAGATCTGATTCGCCGACTCATTTGCAGCCGAGAGCACCGATTGGGTCAGAATGGCATCGAGGACTTCAAGCAGCACCCCTTCTTCGCGGGTACAGCCTCCACCTTTCTGTCGCACACAAAGATTACCTGAAAAACGTTTACCGTTCGCTGTATGCTGCTTAATAAATGCATCTCCTTGTTTTTCACCTTCGACCTTTTAAGGCATCGATTGGGATAACATTCGCATGTGTGAAGCCCCCTACATCCCAGAGGTCAGCAGTCCTACAGACACCTCCAACTTCGATGTGGACGACGACTGTCTCAAGAACTCGGTACGTTTGGAGGAGTGAACGCCATCCTCTCACGGTGTCGTCTGACTGGACGTATTCATACTGACGTGCAGATTTCACATGATTTCAAATCCTTTCAGGAGACGATGCCCCCTCCCTCTCACACTGCTTTCTCAGGCCACCACCTGCCCTTTGTAGGTTTCACCTACACAAGTAAATGGTAAGTGTTAACAAACAGCTGCTGCCACTCACCTGTTTCTGCCTAACAACCAACTCTTACTACAGCTGGACTTCCTGTGTCTTTGCTGATGATTGTTAAATAGCAAAAAGAGGAGGAACAAGTCTCTGACGCCTCTTCCTGAATCAGACTTTCTTCATTTAGCCTCTTTTGAAAGTCTTCCTTCAGACTCATAATGACTGTGATAGCGAGCAGATGCTATTTTCCTCCAGTGTCCAGCAGTTGTCACAGGTTGTCTTCATATGTAATGACTTTATTTATTTTTAAATGGATTTCCTATACAAGCTGTCTCAGCACGTGGTGTGAGGAGGCGGGGGAGATTAGCTTTCCTCCCTAATAAGGTGATGTTGCTGTACATCCTCAGGCTGAAGTGGTACTCATGAGAAAGCACCAGACCCACCAGCTGCTTCCTTATCTTTTCAAGCCTCAGTGATAATAGCCTTTTCCTTCCTTTCTGTCCTTCTGTCTCTTTCTCGCTCCACCTCGCACTCCTCGTGTCCCTCTGCTGTTTTCTCCCATGACTCAACTTTCAGCTTATCTCTGTCGCCATCACTTCTCTCTCCCCGATCTTTCTTTGTATTTTCCCAATGACCGGTTTGATGTCATCAGAAACCACCAGCACCAATGTAAATAGTTTGTCCCCCCTCCTCTGTAGCACTCTGTCTGATCGGGGTTGCCTGCGACAGCTGGGAGGTGAGCCGGGGAAGGCCGGGCAGGACAAGCTGGATGTTGAAGTGCAGCGTAGCCTGGAGGACAGCCTGGCCACCGAGGCCTACGAGAGAAGGATTCGCCGCCTGGAGCAGGAGAAGCTAGAGCTGAGCCGCAAACTGCAAGGTGAGGTCGGAGCAGCGTGCATCATATGCACCCAGCCATCATGAGGCATGAGCATCCAGTCTGCACATGCTGAACTTAAAACTTTCCACTCTTGCCAGTATGGCTTTTAAAATGCCTATAAATGATGTTTCTGATGTGCCACAGAGTCGACTCAGACGGTGCAGGCGCTGCAGCACACGGGCGAGGGCCCCCTCAGTGCTAACAAGGAGGTGGAGATCAGGAGCCTGAAAAGCGAGATCGACATTCTGAAGAAGCAGATCGCTGGTCAGGACACAGTGCAACGCTTTTCCTTCTGAATCAGCTCCTGATTGTCTCTGACAGACACAAACGGCAGCAAATGTGGTTGTTTGGCAAATGTCTGACAGTTTCAGTTGCGTTTCAAACCAAGCGTGTGTTCGTTTCAGACTCAGGCCAGCTGGAGAAGCAGCTGGAGGATGTGACGCTGGCTCGGAGAGACTTGGAGGACTCGTCCAAACACATCAAGACTCTTGAGAAACAGATGAAGAGCATCACACAGGAAAGGGATGACCTACAGAAGGTACGGCTAGTGTTTCGTGTCATTCTCTGGATATTTAAAGAGCTACAAACGAGTGAGATTTTATTGATCAAGCTGAAATAACAAGTTATTGGACTACTTTGTGGGAGGGATCTGAAATGCTCAACTCTGCTGTCGTCTGTCGTGTTCAGGATCTCATGGACGCCAGCGAGAAGTTGAAGGTTCAGTCTAAAGAGCTGAAGGAAGCCCACAGCCAGAGAAAACTGGCCATGCAGGAGTTTTCAGAGCTGAACGAGAAGCTCACAGACCTCAGGTAGAAGCACGCGCCCAATGCCAACCGCCGACTGCTAGAGTTTCTTTCGTAATGTTTTTTAACAAAGTCCCGTCCATGAATAAAACGCCCACGCTGGATGTCTTCCTGTCCCGGTTCACAGGTCGGCGAAGCAGCGCCTGGTTCGTCAGCTGCGTGACAAAGAGGAGGAGATGGAAAGCCAGAATCAAAAGGTGGAGGCTCTCCGCCTCGAGGTGCGAAAGGCCGAGAGGGCCAAGAAGGAGGTAGAGTAGACTCCCCCGTGGTTGCTGGCACGCCCTGCTCTGTCCGTGTTCACCTACTCGAGCTTCATCCAGACGTCGCTGTGACTTTACGCACTGCGAAAAATGTAACGTGTGCAATCGCTGCAGACGTCCAGAGTTTCATGTCCACAGATCACAGTGGCACAAAATGACGTGAAACATTGAGACGTTGTTCCTCGTGTGTTGGTAGAGCAGCATTTACCTGCTTAACATGTGCTGTGTATGATCGGTGGCAAGAAACGGTTTGTGAATTTTATCGCTCTATAAATACGACATCATATATAATCTTATTTCCACTCACGGCCTGAAGGTAGATGGAGAGAACCAGTCATGCAAATGAAATGAAACCAGTAAGTCATTTATTTAGAAAAATCCATCAGCGCTGCATATCTGTGATGGGGACGTGTGCGACCCACCGCTGTTAGAAATTCAACACTTCTAAGAACTGTCTATGAGCTTGAGCCTTTTTGTTCGCGGCTTCAGTTCTGGCTTGTAGCCGAGTTTCTGTTCATTTCAGCTTCTGGGACAGTCGTCCCATAACACGAACTTTATTCTTGGACCAAGACTGAGGCCTGTTCACACACTTGTCTTTAGTCCGATGTCCCGACGTTTTCTTTTCCAGTGGGCTCGTATGCTGCGTCAGTGGTGACAGGCTGTCCTGGGCCAGTTCTGTTTCATCCACGTCATCTTCATCAGACTGCACGTGTCCTCTCAGAGAGCTGCAGCTTTCTGGTGTTTAGGGCTCCTCTGGTTGTTGTTATTAACCTGAACATCGGCCAACACCAGAGCGGATTTTACCCCCGGAGTCCAAACCGTTTGTTTCTAACAGAAATGTCATTTCACACTTTGATAGATCCTCAGTCTGTAAATATAAACAGGCCACTCACTCAGTGTCCTAATGCAGAAGTTGCTCACAGGTTTAATGTGTTTGTCTCTGTAATGTAAAATATTTGTGCAGAAATCTAGAAACGTCCAAAGTGTTCACAAAAGATGTGTTGCAGCTGCGACATGTTTAAAAGCTCGTCTGCTTTCCTCGTTTCATCATCAGATGGAGGCTCAGGTGGAGGAGCAGGCGGCCGAGGCTCAGAAAGAGAAGAAGCTGAAAGAGCGCAACGAGCAATACAGCCGACAGCTGCAGGAGGAGCTGGAGGGGCTGAAGGTGAGTGTTCCCAGCTTTAACCGTTCAAAGTACTAATGACTTAATCACCCCGATGGAGATATTTTAGGGTTTTCCCCTGCATGAGTACAACGAGTCTCACTGGTACTCTTTTCTTCTCCATACAAATCTTTGTCTCATTCCCACCACCCAGGTGAAGCAGGCTGGCTCCTCTGCTGCCCCGGCCCCGGCGGATCAAACCCAGGAGGTCGGGCGTTTACGTGGAGAAATGGAGAAGAAAACGATGTTCTTCGAGGAAGAGTTGGCCCGCAGGGGGGCGCAGTACAGCGCCGAGCTGAAGGCGCTGCGTAAAGAGCTGAGAGATGCCGAGAGCCAACAGCTCAACCTGCAGAAAGAGATCCTGATGCTCAAAGACAAACTGGAAAAGACTCGTCGTGAAAGGTATCGCACCAGTTTGCCTTTCCTGGGGCTGCTGTTAGCGTTGGTTCCCTTTAGGTTTGTCTTTAATACGTTGAGTTTAATTCTTCTGTCGTCTCTTTCAGTGACGATTCCACGAGGTGATTACTGTTAACGATAGTTTCATCCCATTAATCCCCTTTGTGCTCTAAATATAGTAGAACTCCAGCCGTCCCCTAACATTTCCATAAATTGTGTTTAGATGGATCGTAAATATACCAGCGAGAGTTTCCCAGGCACACTGTCACAGTGTTTGCCCCACAAACATGAGTGGATTTCATTCCCAAGGCTGCACTAGTCCAGCTGTCCCTTTTATTTTTAACATTTTAAATTTACAGCTAAGGGTGATAGTAGGCTGGTAAAACAAACATCTTAAAAAATGAAAATGACCTCGATGCTTGGGTCAGAGTGGGTGGAGGAAAGGTCTCACTTAGTCAGAGCTGGAAGGATGCAGGTCCCCAACTGAATTTGAAAGGTTTTAACATATGTTACCTTTATACCTGTAATGTCCTGATTACCCTGAATGACTCCTGTTCTGGCTTTTTGGGTTTGGGAGACCCGTTACTGTACTGTTAGTGTTTTAAATGAATCTGCAGGAGACGCACAGTTTAAAGCTGTCTGTGCTGCAGCGAGCTATTAATCTCTAATATGTCAAAAAGAGCTGGAAACCCTTGTTTCTTACAGCGGCTGACACACATCCTGATGTTTGCTCTGCTGCAGATCAGCATCACTTATTCTTGCGTTTGTTTATATGGGGCGTGTAAAGCTGCAACATGCAGACGATTGAATAATTCTGCTGTAAGACGTCTGTAGAGAAATGCTTCAGATCTGAGTGTTTGTTTAAAGGTGTCACATCTGCCCCTCGGTTCATCCTGAAGCACAAATCTAAACCAACAGTGCCGTCTCCACAGGCCTGTTCAAACTTCACTGCAGTCACTACTCAGTAATGGTTGGTGATAAAATGAGAGCAGCAGAGGCTGAAATGGTAACAAAATAAAAAGATCTGTCAAAATGTGTCAACGTGGAGGTTTTATACCAATAAATGAGAAGAAGTTGTTTCTTCTGCGGCACTCAGGCTCACCTGATCCAACTCTGAGCCGCTACTTTAATACAATTTGCATAAAAACGTGTTTTTGTGGCGCTTTGTTTTGGTACCCTGTCCCATCCTGCCTGCTGTTAGTGCCATATTACTCCCACTGCTGTCTAAGTCGGTTTCAAACGCAGCACTGTATCAGATCCTAGCTGCATTAATGTGTTTGGGCTGAATAATGCATCTCGGTGTTTGATCTAAGGTTTGGACAGATGTGGGAGGAATTACACGAGAGCTCCAACAGACGTGTTGGTCTTAATGTTAAAATGACAAATGCGAGAAATCAGATGGAGTTTTGCATTTATAAATTGTGGGTTGGGAATAAATGTAAGTTTATACAAAGTCACAAGTTTTACAGTAAGTCTGTGTGTGTGTGCTTTTTCCCCGTCCAGCCAAAGCGAGCGGGAGGAGTTTGAGACCGAGTACAAGCAGGAGTACGAGCGAGAGCGAGTCCTGCTCACTGAAGAAAACAAGAAGCTGTCCAGTGAACTCGACAAGGTGCCACATCTTTATTTATACACAAAGTGACTGTCAGCGCACAAACCTGGGTCATCTCTGTCAGTCTTTAGTGAGCTCTCAACACACACCAACACAGCGCTTTGACCCCAGCTAACCCCAAACTCTTTCATCACATTCCTCCTCCACCCCCGCTCTCCCGCCAATGCCAAAGAAATCACTGTTCAATATCCTGCGTAAAAACAGCCGTCGCCGCCTCCACAGTGGATGGGATGACTCTCTGGACTGAGCTCTGTTGACTTTGCAAGTTCAGAAAGGCCCTCGTTTTAAACAATGTCTCATAAGCAGGAGACATTCTGACATTATATCACTGTACTTATTTGTGTTTTGTTAGTTGATAAAGATGGATTCGATCTGCGTGTGCGTTAGCTCCACCACCACCTTTTCAGCACGTTTTGAAGTGTGTAAAAAAAAATTCTTGTTTGACTCGTCTCACCTTTCAAAGGAGGCTCCAGAGTTCACACCAAACTGCTTCGTCTTCACTCGGCACCATTCGTGAAACGACCTGTGGGCTGGACTTGTGTTCAGTTTGTCCAACTTTCCAACTGCATTTGACCTCCATCCTTGTTTTCGGCCTGAATTTCCACGATCAAAGAAACATCACAGGAAAAGCTGTTTGCGTTCAGTGTCAGCTGTTGACAGAATGAAATTGGCAGTGAATAAATCTGAAAAGACATCCCAGTATGAGAACATCATCCATTGTCAGCGCGAATTGTTTTAGCAGCAAACATTATGGTTAGAAATGAAAAAGGAATCTGGACCCTGGTCAGGAATATCTGCAGTTTCTTCTCCAAGAGCAGGCAGATGTGATTGATCAGCATCGTTTGTCTCCCCACAGAGGTTCTTGTTCTGCCTCAGCATCGTCAATGTCATGTTCTTGGACTTGCAGTTAAAAATAAACTCATTAAAAACTAACAATCGTTATCAGCTGGTAAAAACATTACTGTACTGAGAGATTTCACTTTCAGAGAGATGCTTGATAATAAAAAGTGCATCTTTCTGCCTTTTCACAAGTCAGACACAGTTGAGCGAGTCTCAGCATCGCTTTGGTCATTTGCACTGTTACAATGTTGCTGTTTCAGATATTGAGGTCTGTGTATGTGCAGGAAATCTGAGACAAAGGTTTTGGTTCTGTGTGACCTCAAAGAGAGCAGATATCCATATATGGTCATCCTGTGTACCTGCTGCTCAAACCTGCTGTTTATCAGAGGTGCTCTATCAGAATAAACTGAAACGTCTGGTTTAAGACAGAATTATTCACAATTCAAAACTTCTTTATCTTATACTCTGTTCATCTAAGCAGAACAAAGTGTAAAACGCCCATTTAAAGAAGTCGTGGGGAGATATGAGACAGAATCTCTGACATGCTTTGCTTTCTCCAGCATGAAGTATTTTGTAGAGCTTGCTTCGTTAATGGCTACATCCATGATTTCCTGGCATCCGATGGTCATTTCCAAACCCGAGTAGCTGCACATCTGTCACATCTGTGTCGTTCTGGACGTTTTCATAGTAACATGAGGTCAGGGGTGTGTCGAGCATGTTTCATGCCTAAGCTGGTGGATTTGCCCCCAGAGGTTTGCATGCTGGAGAATGTCACAGTGTCAGTGACGTAAAGCTTCTTTACAACACTGACATTTGCGTTTGCTGGAAACCAGCTTGTAGACCAGTTGCAAAACTATCCCACTTTCCTCATTCCACAAATATAGTGAGCAGTGAGCTGACCTCATGTCAGAGGATCTCACCCTCACATGTGAGGAACACGCGTGGTCCTGGTGTGATGGAGCAGCTGGGACTGAATCATAAAGTCTGTCTTCAACAACACGCTGATTAATTTTACGCGAGCACCCGAGCCTCTCATGTTCACTGACAACACGAATGGCAAACTGTGTGTAATGAGTTCGTTTACCAGGCGTTAGACTTTGACAGCTTTGTGATTTGACACTTTACAATATTGTGTTTAATAGCATGCTCTCCTCCCCCCACGTTTGTTCTCATTCCTGTAGCTAACCACCATGTATGAGAAGATGAGCAGCTCCAACAGGCAGCTGGAGGATGAGATGAGGGAGCTGGCTGATAAAAAGGAGAGTGTAGCTCACTGGGAGGCCCAGATCACAGAAATCATCCAATGGTAAGACGCACGCTCATATATGCACACTGCAACCTTCTCAAATGTCCCAGATACTTGCTGAGGCATACGCTTTCCCCCGCTGATGTTAAAGCGCCAATTCAAAGACGTTTATGTTCAGTGTGACAAAGTGCGAGCAGACACGCTTCTGTCTCGTAGTGGATTGGGTTCCTTGTTGGAGTATAACTGCAGCATTTCTCACATGCCGCTGCAGATCAGAGCTGCTCGGCCCTGCCTTCCACTCAGATCACTTCTCAGTGCAGCTGACACCTCGCCAGCTGTTGGACAAGCCTAAAGTCTTTACATAGCACACATACCACACACACACACTTCAGACATGTAAGTACAAGTGTTGAGTGTGGTATGCAGGTTTAGAGGAATGTAGGGATCACTGTTGCCCCCTGGTGGCCGGGGTTTGCTACTGCAGGGGCTAAATAAGGAAGTAGGATCACTTGTAGGTAAAAACAAAATGAATGAAACATCCTTTCACGACTTGACACGAACTCTGATTTTTGAATGTCAAACGTGTGTGGTGTGCGCTCTGTGAGCGCCAGAAAATGTTTACGTTAGTAAGTCTGTGCTGTGAACACGTCAGTTTATTCTACCTGAGTGTTCAGGGTTAGTGAGCGACTCACCTGCAGGTTGAACGTGTGTCTGTTTTGTGTTGGTGCGTGTGGTGAATGATGTGTAAGCAATGGTTAAGTGTGATACGGGTCACAGGACCTGAAGAGCATACAGTGAAAAGGCGCGTTTACAGAGTGTGTGTGTGTGTGTTTCCAATTCTGCCACTGAAGGATGTTTGTAGAGAGCTTCAAACAGCCCATCAGTGCTCGTACTGACAGAGAGATACATCTTTATATGTAAAATAAATAATAATATGCTGTCAGTGTGTGTTAGTGTTGGCTTTAGACTCTTGGTTTTATGGTTATGGTAAAGTTGACACCCATGGAATGTGTTTACATTTGTAGTAATGTGTGTGTGTGTGTGTGTGTGTGTGTGTGTGTGTGTCAGGGTGAGTGATGAGAAAGATGCTCGGGGCTACCTGCAGGCTCTGGCCACTAAGATGACAGAAGAGCTGGAGGGGCTGAGAAGCAGCAGCCTGGGAGCGAGAGCCACGGTAAATAAACACGTCGTCTGTCTGCTGCAGAACTAAAGGAAATCCCTTCTTGTTGTTGTTGTTGGTAGAAACTAGTTCAGTGATTATACATTTTAAAATGATGAAGCCAAAGTGAATGAATATCATCAAAGAAGCCAGTCTTTCACTCTTACACTGACAGGTAAGTCGAGCAGCGGTGAGTCCCTTTCTGTCTGGTGATTCGCTCAGTTTCTGCTTCTGTCTCCGTTTCAGGACATGCCGTGGAAAATGCGGCGTTTGGCCAAGCTGGACATGTCTGCGCGCCTGGAGCTGCAGTCGGCCCTGGACGCTGAGATCAGGGCAAAGCAGAGCATCCAGGACGAGCTGAACAAAGTCAAGGCCAACAACATTTCCACAGAATGGTATGACTGCTGAACTTTTTTAAAAACAACTTAAACCAACTTTTGCTAAACGACAGCTAACGTATCATTGTGTCTGATCGATCAGTAAACTGCAGGAAGTTGGAAGTAAAAACCAGGAACTGCTGGCTGAGATCGAGCGTCTGAAAAAGGAGACGGAGGAGCTGCGGCTACGGCGAGGTGAGCACGCGTGCTGTGGCTGAGTGGGCGCTGTGCACTGAAACCGTTGGAGATTATCACACTGCAGGAGGGTTATGCAGCAATCAGACGCTCGGGACTCTTAATGTGTACAGACAAATGTATTGTTGCTTGGGGCTCATGAATCTGCGCCCCAGCTCTTTGAGGCGGTCCTGTGACTCGTGTAAGTCACCCTTTGATGTTTTGATATTGTGTTCTTAACAATGGTTGTGTTGTTTGTCCTGTGACTACAGGTGTCAAGCACCAGGATTCCCAGAATTCCTTCTTGGCTTTTCTCAACGCCCCCACCTCAGCTCTCGACCAGTTCGATGTAAGCATTACAGAGAAAATCTGGTTACGAGCACAACAACTGAAAGATTCAAATCCATGACTTTCAATTCTCTGCTCTCCATTAAGATGTTTTCTTCACGCTTTCATTATTTATTTTTCACCAGTTTTTATTTTTGTTTTGTCTTTTGTTTTCCTCACATCACTTCCTGCTACACAAGGATTCTTATTCCTCATCCTCATCTTCTTTAATTGAGTTTTGGGAAGATGTAAGTTTATCTTGGTTAGTTGGGGTGTGTGTGTGTGTGTGTGCGCGTGCAACAGTAGCTGTAGGTCTGAGCATATGAACTAGATGAGATGGTGTATGTGCAGACTGTAGATTTGTGTCACTGTATGGAGACGTGGATCTTCGCTGTTATCTGAAGAAGGGAAACTCTGTTGTGCTTTTATAACAAGATGATTTAAAAGTGGCTCCACAGGATGGGTTTCACATTTCAGCTCACATATGTTAAAACTACATGTGATTGAAAGATAAAATGAAAATATAGACGAGCTCTCCTTTTAGTTTCTGTTAGTTTGGTTAAAAAAAAACTTGCCTCGAGAGGTTTTGATGGACGTGTTTTGTGGAGACTGAGTCTGCTAGACTGAGTCAGCTGCCCTTTAAAACTTGTGTAACTATGAGCTAAATCTGAGACTAAAAACTAAAATAAAACATTTTCAAACAGTAAAAACTAAAGTGGAAGAAGAAAATCCACTGAAGCTAAACTGAATTAAAACACTAACCAGAAAATGCAAAACTCTAATAACTGGTTATTTGTACCATATCTAAGTCCACAATCCTTTGAGTTTGGCGACAGAGAGCAGGACGCATACGGAGCTGCCTGCAGGGCAGCTGGTCTTTCTCTTTTCATGTAGTCGAGAAGGACGTCAGAGAATCATTTTGTCTCTAACAGTTGAAATTAGGAGGGTTGGCGAGTACGAGCCCAGGCAGTGAGAGTGAAGTAAACGAGTGTCGAGGGCTGACAGAAAGTCAGTTTGTGCTGCAGCACCAAAGGCAGCATGAAAACACAACAGTAGTTGATTTCCAGTCTACATCTTCTGACTGTGTTGCGCTGGCCTGCAGTTTTTACGTCAGGCTAAACCGGACCTGCTGCGTCTGGCTTCCTCAGAAGCTACATGACCTCCACGTTTGCTGCTAACATGAGAGCGTTTTGGATTGAAGCTGCTCAGCGAGGGAATAATAATGTTGTGGCAGCTTCTCTAAACACACTGAGGACAAACGGGGAAAAGTGGAGTTTGCAGAACACGTCCACTTTTAAAACCAGATGTTTTCATTGTTTCCAGTCAGATTCATTTTACCTGCTTTAAGAAAATAACATGGCTTTATAGTTTAATTCAGTATTTAGTATGAACACTTGTGAAGGTGGACAGTTCTTGTAGTCCTTGTATTTAGATGCTTGCTGGACTGGCTCTACTTTGGCTTTCTAGAGCGAGAACCTGAGAAAACAACATTATTCACAAAGTTGAAGTATTTTCCAGTCAGGCCGGTCGCTGTTCTCTGTGCTGCATTTCCTTAGTAGCTCCTTCCATATTACACGTGTACGTTTCCACCATGTCTGCAGCACAAAGCCTCATGGATACATGAATCTAATGCAGTGCTTCCCAACCAGGCTCGCTGTGCCCCAGTGTGGCCCCAGTGTGGCCCCAGTGTGGCCCCAGTGTGGCCCCAGTGTGGCCCCAGTGTGATATTGCACAGTTCATTTGACTGAAACAAGCAGCTTGAATTCAACAAAGCGACTGAACTGAAAAATGTTTGAGCAGAAGCTGATGGATCCAGGTGTGGTGGATCATGAGCTAGAGCTGTTAGAAATGTAAATCGATGGTTTTCTATTAGTTTCATTGTGCTGCAGAGGAAACGCTGCATCGGTCGGGAATCATGGGTCTAATGTAGAACAGCCTTTTCTCCCGTTTTCATGTGTCTCTCTGAGTCTGTTTAAAGATGTTTTCAGCCTTTCTGACTCATCTGTGTCTCTGCCTCTCCTCCTGCCACTGAAGCACTCGCCGTCCGTCGGCCCAGCTAGCAAAGGCAGACGTGTAAGCACCATCACAGATGTGTAGTCTTGTCACGCTGGTTCATTTGTGTGTTTGCATGGCAGGTGTTTGAATTTGTCCGATTGTGCCTGTCTGTGGTGCTGCAGGTGCTTTGTTTGCATGGTTTCTGGTGGATGCATGTGTGACACTGTTGTGCTTTGAAAGCTCAGTGAATGTGTTTGCTGTGTGTATTATGGTGACAGCCCTTTCCTATTAGCATGAATGCTGGCTAGGTGGTTTGTGATCTGTTCTTCTTCATTTTCCCTCGTCGCCTTCCTTTTACACCTTCCTCCCTCTCCTCCCGTTTGTCGCACCTTTCTTACTGTCCTCTCTCTCCACAGGTGGACTCTGTGGATAACTTCACCCCCTCCAACACGCCGTCTCGGGAAGATGACCCCAAGTCCCACCTTAAGCCCCGCTCTCGTTCACCTTCCATGGCTAGTGACATGGAGCCAATAGAGGTTAGACATTCCCTAAACCTGGGCAAGAAACCCACAGCTTCAGGGTCTCAGCCTCGTTTGCTGACCAGCAGCACATGAGCCGCCAGTGCTTTCAGACTGAGGTTAAATATTATGCAGCAAGTAAACATCAGAGAAAAATCACTGGCAGCTCGTTTGTCCTGCATGGCGATGATCTTCTCATGGCTGAACATCTGTGTGATCCTGAAGCTCCAGCAAGCTTGTTCTTTGCGACACAACGATTCTTTTTATAGGACGAAACAGTGATGATGTTCTTTGTGTTGTTGTTCACGTAGTTGATCGATCATCCTCGCTCAGTTCAGACGCCCACCATGCGCTCAGGAGGTTATGGCAGTATCGGGCGCTCCTCACCTAAGGTTGGTCATCGGTTACTCGCTGCTGAACGACCACGGCTCAAGTTTCTGTTTGCTAACCGCTCGTTATGTCCTCTGCAGCCCAAAGCACATCAGTTTGTAGTGAAGACATTCAACACACCCACCAAGTGTAACCAGTGCACCTCTCTGATGGTGGGGCTCATCCGTCAAGGCTGTACGTGCGAAGGTGAGCGCGAGAGGAACGGACGGGGGTGTTTGACACGATTCAGTACTCCTACAGTCACAGCCCTGACCCGTCTCCCTCTGTGCTTCTAGTATGCAACTTTTCCTGCCATGTAACGTGTGCGGACAAAGCTCCAGCTGTGTGCCCCGTGCCGCAGGACCAGACCAAGGGCCCGCTGGGCATCGACCCTCAGAGGGGGATCGGTACTGCTTACGAAGGACACGTCAGGGTGAGTGAAGCCTCAGAGACCCGCGAGGCTCTAAAGAACGCAAATGTCTGCAGTGTGTAGGATCCTCGCTGTTTAGACGTGAAACCGTTGGCGCGGACGCTTCGTGAGATGCAGGACTGATCGCACTGACGCACAGATCTGTTTGTTTGCAGGTGCCCAAACCAACCGGGGTGAAAAAGGGCTGGCAGAGGGCGATGGCTGTGGTCTGTGACTTTAAATTGTTCCTCTATGAACTGGGAGAAGGAAAAGCAACACAGCCAAGTGTGGTCGTCAGTCAAGTCATAGACATGAGGTAAGAACTCCTGAAACTAAGAAATGCTTTAAGCGTTTGAGGAAGAATTGCCTGCTTCAGTTTGTAGTTTCTAAGTAAATGTCAGTAAAAGTCACCAGAACGTGACTTTTGTGTTTGGATAAAACGTGTTTTACAGACGCACGCGAGTAAATTATGATGGAAATCTTTGTTTTCTGACACATTTAAGCCCAAAGATTCATTTAAAAAAGAGAAAAATGAATCGGTCGTTAAAATAAAGTGGAGCTCGGCCATCAGCTGGTGTCCAGTCCGTAGCACGCTTACAGTCGATGGGCATCTGCAAGCTGCTTTGCAACCACCTCCACCCTTCGTGCTGGGTTAGACATAAACAATAGTGCATCTGTTGCTCTGTCGTGCATGTGGAAATAAGCAGCGCCTGTTAACTGCAGCGCCGTGACGGGAACATTTCTAACAGTTTCTTCAAAATGTTTTGGACTTGCGGCCTTTAGTGACGAGCATCGATGAAATGTAAACACTGATCTCCATCTTTCACCCAGGGATGAAGAGTTTTCAGTCAGTTCAGTCCTGGCCTCTGATGTCATCCACGCCAGCCGCAAGGACATTCCCTGTATATTCAGAGTGAGTACCTGTCCACGCCGTAAAGCGGCTTCTGGAGGTTAAAGGTCAAGGTTGTGTGCACAGTCATGTTTCTAATGATTGTCTTGCTTTGGATGTCGTTGCCAAAGGAACCATATTATGACAACTGGATGAACTTGAAGAAGAGATGCATCAAACGCCAAAATCTCTTTCAAACACATAATGCGAGCCTTCATCATCCTCCTCTTTCCTCAGGTCACGGCGTCCCAGCTGTCCCCCTCCAGCAGCCACAAGCCCTCCATCCTGATCCTGGC